TATTAAAAAAATAGAACGTATTTTAAATCAAATTAATACGAATTATAATAAGTAATTCTAATATTTTGTTGTACAGATTTTACGTTTAAAAAAAAAAAAAGAAAACAGGAAGAAAACCAATGAAGAAGAAGAAGAAGAAGAAGAGTATATTTTCAATATAGAAATAATAAAACTATGATCGAGATCCCGCTTACAGAACAATAAATACGTAATAACTGTAGAATCGTCTAGTAAGTTAGGTTACACACAAAGAGAAAATAATATCGTTGATACCGACAAAGGAAAGTATATAAAGTCTATTCGAATGCCGATACATGTTAAATTATTACCATCGACGGTTGCCCTTTTAAATCTTTCCTCTTTACCAAAGGCACGAAGCATACCAGAACGATCGATTGAATATTTTGCTACTGGAGAGAGAGAGAGAGAGAGAGAGAGAAAGAAAAAAAAACAAAATCCGAGATCAAACGATAGGTAAAAGGCAATCTCGAGGCTGATTTAACGCAACCATCATCTATATGGATTCCCGTTTCTTCTATATTTTCATTTACTTTTTTTTTCTTCTTTTATATATATATATATATAAATTACAACAAAGAAAAGTTTTAAGAATTGTAGAAATATCCTTTGGGGGTGAGTGGAAGTGGGTGGGATTCATCTAATTAAAATTAATTGGAAATAGTAGACAAAGAAGAGGAAGAAGAAAAAGAAAAAGAAGAAGAAGAAGAAGAAGTATAAAAGAAAGAGAAAAAAGAAATTTGCTTTTATATATATTATATATACACCTACTCTATTATTTATTAATATATTTATTTATTTATTATATCCGTAGGGTATATCAAACGTGCCCTTATTGTTCGAGTTCAATGCTCCGATATTACATTAGAAATTTCTTTTTTCTTTCTTTCTTTATTTCTTTTTTATTTGTCCTTTCATCATATAACTATCAAAGACTTTGGAATTATTTTCACGCTTTAATAAATCATACGCAAAAGATCTAACGGGTTGGTACGGATAATCCGATGAAAATTCCGCAACAGAGCGTTGTTGTCGGTTATCATTGCTGTCGTTGTCGTTGTCGTTGTTGTTGTCTTTGTCGTCGTTGATCATCGGGGGTCCGATGATGTGCTCGTGTAAAAGCCAGACAAACCCCGATCGATTTAAAATCGTTCTGTCGAGCCGATACATCCACTCATACACACAGACAGACACACACATACGCAGATAGAAACATATAGAAAGGTTCGATCATCGAACAGAGAAAATTCCTGCAACCTGCGTGATCCGCAAAGAGAAAAGGGATGAAGGGGGTCGTAGGGGGGGGTGGAACGGGGGATGGAATGAGGGTGGTTGGCAGATGAGGTCGACTACCTTTTTAGTCACACACGTGATCCAAACCAGCGTGAACACCTTTGCGGAGATTATTTGATCTGCAACACTGGGTAATTCATTATCGGCATGTGTTACGCGTCTAGAAGCGGACCTTTTATCTACTTTTTTTTTACTTTCTTCTCTTTTTTATACACTCTCTCTCTTTCTCTTTCTGTTTCTTTTTAAAAAGAATACGTAAAAAGGGCTTGATTCTTTTATTTCTAATAGAGAGTTCATTAAAGATATAGATCATATCTCGTTTATAACGAAAAATATTGATAACGTTTTTGATATATACGATTAGAATAATTTGTTAAGTGATTTAATTGTTATTATATTGAATTTTATCAGAATTTGAAAGAAATGTTATTAACAAAATGTATAAATCTTTAATTATTTCAATATCGAGATACTCGTATTAATATATTACACGTTAAAAGAAACAATGTTTATTTGATTTTTAATCTGAAAAGTCGGTGTAGTGATTTAATGACAAATTTGTAATGATAAATCGTGTAGTTATTAATAAATTGCACGTAAGAAAATCACGTAAGCAAAATGTATTACAGATATGAGAGAGGGAGAGAGAGAGAGAGAGAGAAGTGGTTTCTGAGTATAAACATACGTAAGATCTTGTGCGAGATACGCGTGTTGATATACTTGTCTCCAGCTTCCTAATTACACGACTACGGTGAATAATGTAACAACCGGAATACGATGGTATTCTAACAAGCAGATTGCGAATAGTTTACCGCAGAGTAACCAAAATTCAACAACAACATCAACACAACAACGTGTATTAATATATTTTACTTACCACGCATATAACAAAGACATTTTTATCTTGAATAAAAATATAATTTGTCAATGATTAATTTTTTGATAAAGCAAACATATTCGCATATATGTATATTGAACGAATACGAATGTATAATCGAACATTTTGTTCATTTATTTATTTTCTTTTTTTTCTTTTCCCAACGAGTAGTATACAAAATTTCAACCGACACTCAAGGTATTGTACATAACGAAAGCTTTTCAAACTTTTCCACTCGTCGGTTGGGATTCCTCTTTGCCCTAAAGGGAAAAAAAAATATATTTTCACGATTCGTATTCGTATTGACTTTTATATCACATCATCATTTACTTTTATTATTATAAACTCACGTACAATTAAATTGATTTGTAATTTATTTCGTTGTCTTTGTCGAATTTCAGGAATTTTTTTGTAATTTTCTGTTTAAATTTTGACGACTTCGTATCGGGTTCCGACAAGGTTGCGTTCATTATTCCAAATATTTCATTCATGCATATATTTAAAAAAAATATTCAAGTATTTATTTATTTTATATATTAAATGAGAATACGAAAAGGAAAGAGAATTTAAAAAATGTTTTGTAAAAGAACACGTTTGATTAAAAATCAGCGCTCGTTATTTATTCACCCAAAAAATAATCGAATATTTTAAAGGAACTTATTTCACATTCTTATCGTACTTTAAACAAAAAAAGAACAAAAGAGATGATTTACGATTTTTCTTTCCCCCTTAATATCCATGAACTTTCTCTCTACGGTTCGAAGTTCACACGTCGTTTAATCCTTGACACCATATCAAATATTTATCGAGTATTTTTTAAGAACAACATTGCACCGTCATATTCTTATTATTTCTCTCAAAAAAAAAAAATGTAAAAAATAATTTCTACAGCTTATTATTAATAAATTAATTAGAGCAAAGAAAAAGTAAAAGAACAAAAACAAAACAAAACAAAATAAAGAATAAACAAATTCAATAATACAAATTTCTAATATAATACATTTCTCAAACGATTGTTCCTTATTAATAAATTAATTAGATCAAAGAAAGAGTAAAATAACAGAAACAAAAATAAAGAACAAACAAATTAAATAATACAAATTTCTAATATAATACATTTCTCAAACGATTGTTCCTTATTAATAAATTAATTAGATCAAAGAAAAAGTAAAATAACAGAAACAAAAAAATAAAGAACAAACAAAATAAATAATACAAATTTTTAATACATTTATCGAACGATTGTTTCTTGACTTAATAAACAACGATTAGAATATAATCAAAATGTGGTGTTTGATTTGTACCGGAAAAAAATCATTTCCTTTAAGTGCTTAGAAACGCATGATATGCCTGGGACATTAAATTGACGTTTAACACGAGTTACTCGTTGTTTCTTTGTAGATAAGTGGTTGCCATTACTCGGATTGCAGGCGTTGCATTAGCTAAGATCCAGGCCGTAGACGTTCTCATTCGGATAATGCACTGCTAAGTGGAAGCCTTCGTATATGTTGCAACTCGTAGTCTATCAATCTTGATCTTGTCGTAGGTTGAGTGCATCTTCCCCTTGGAAACGTGCGCGCCTAAGTTTATCTACATATATATCTAAACGCATACACACACACACACACACACATATATCTCACGCGAACGCGTACTACGATTACACTCGTAACATTTCTACGAGAAATGTAAGGAAAATGCTTTTGTAACGATCCTTTATGTAGTAATCCGTATATAAATATCATCGCACGATTTAGAAAAAAAAAAAACAAAACGAAACGAAAGGAATGCGAATTGGAATTAATATTACGTTGTAATCAATTATTATTGAGTTGGGGCAACTAAGTAACAATGGTTATTTAGTATTATTTATCCACATTTTCAACGATCCGATTGCTACAACAACACCGATCATTTATCTTAATGCTTTAACGTTAATTTCTAATTAGTATGGTATAAAAAAAAAAAAAAAAAAAAAAAAAAGAACAATGATATCTATCGATCTCAAGTGTGCCATCAATTTCAATAATTATTCGAATTTATAGACTGTGATTCATACGCGTGCAACGATTAGCATAATCGTTTTAAACATCATTTACCTTATCGATTTGTTCAGCACGATATTAAACGTTCATTTATCGAAGAAAGATAAAAAAGAATAAAATAATAGGAAGGGAGAATAAGGTGGGGGTGGCAGTGGTGGGGTTTGGGGTGGAATTGAGGGATGATCGAGTACGAAGGAATAATTTCTATTATTTTTGAATAAAAGCGTGCACGGCTGGTAAACTCGATTAGCCATTAAAAGAGTGGTGCTGATGGTGGGTGGTGATGGTGGTGGTAGGTTCGACTAAGGTAATTTGCGAGATTTGAATAAAATTGATTTATTCTGGGTTCGACGATTAAATATCTCGTGTTGCCATTATAAATGAGATAATGATATTATATAATTAGTCGTATCGTATTATACTATTGCGATTTATAACAGGGGTGACGGGAGGGGGAGGGGAGGTGAAAACTTGCCTATGCCTCGAAGGATGAATGATCCGAAACTGATAATCATCGAGGATTATTTTTCTATACGTGTTTCCCGTAAAATTAATTGACTAGATTGTTTTTTTTTTATAATGACACGCTTGATCGACAAATGTTCCATTTTCACGAACATTTCGAATCCGTTCGTTTTTTTTTTCTGATTTTAAATTCGACGCACTTATGTGACTCATTATTATCAATCATTATTATTATTGTTATTATTATTTATGTACACGTATGTGAGTAAAGAATGAAAAAGAAGGAGATAAAAAAATAAATATATAAGATTTCTTTGATAAACGTATTGATTTTTTTTTAAAAGATTATTTTTTATTCTTCAAATTCAACAATATTTCCTCAACTGTTTTCCCTTCCGTCTCGGGTACGAAGAAATAGATAAAGATCCATAAAATAACAGTTATCGCGGTAAAAATCCACATGGGTACATGGATACCGTATAGATCTTGCGTTACCTGAGAATATTATAATAAAGATATAAATAGACATATTTAATAATGCTTTGTGTTCTACGTTTATATATATCATAAATTCGAATTTAATAGTAATATCCCCCTTTATTGTTATCCCATGAAATTGTATTACGTGTATGCATGTATAATGTGTATAGCGTTAATATCTAGCAAGTATAACATTGCATAACACAAAAACACCATATCGCAGCAGGAATACAGTTGATACGATTTGGTAAGAAAGCAAGTATAATCACGTGTACGTGTTAAGAATGCAATTACGTGTTGTTTAAATAAGTAGATATCAAAATTGATATCCAGATTTCCAATGGTAAGTGTAAAATCTTTTTACAACTTGAAGAATATTAAGTTAATACGCGTTGAGAATTTTTCGAAATAATTGCGAAAAAATAGTTATGTTTGTTAAAAAAAAAAAAAGCCTCGTATCAAATAAACTTACGTCTGAATCGTGACGAAATGTAATAGTTAATCGCATAAGTGTCGGGATAAAAAGATAAAAGCATTATGATTTCGAGATTTCTTATCTCCTAGTTACGAACATAGGCAAATAGTCAAATGCCTATTATTGTATTTACGTACCTGATAAAATTTGACAATCACTGTGGTAGTTCCAGCGTAATAAACCGAGGCAAATATTGCGGCAGCTCTTTTCATTTCGAAAGGAAATATTTCTCCTAGATATGCCAAAGGCATTGGATTCAATGCCAATCCATAACTAAGAACAAAAATCATCACGAATACCGATGGTACCCAATTGAATCTTGAAACGTCGTAACCGGCCGAATGGAAAGTAAAGAATAAAGCTAAACTAAATAATGCGAGGAAACAAACAGGCGCTGAGATCAATAACAATATTCTTTTTCCGGTAATATGAACCAATAGGATACAAGCAAATCCGGCAAAGACCATGGCACAACCGGTAACGATAATGCTCAAATTCGTGGACACCGCAAAGTTCACTTTTTCAAAGATTTCCGATTGGTAAGCTAATATCGGTGCACCACCGGTAAGCGTCAATGCACTGCTTAAAATTAAGATAATCCCAAAACCACGTTTATTTTCTCTCTTCTTAAACATTTCCTTGATAATATCGTAAAATGTTAATTTCCTCGAAGTATCCTCGGTTATCAATATTCTTTTTATTTCTTCCATTTCTTCCTCAACGTTATCCTTTCCCAATGCCCATCTTAACGTCTTTTTAGCCGAGGTTAATTGATTTCGTTGAGTTAGGAAGACCGAACTTTCGGGTAACCAGGCAAACATAACCACGAACAAGATCGGTACGGTCATGGCGATCATGGACATCATAAATCGTGAAATCCAGAGACCTACGGTAAATATCAGTAACATTCCAATGTTCATGTTAACCGCCATCATTGTACCTAAGAGACCACGAGTACGTTTGCTGCTGATTTCACCGAGATACATTGGCAATACGGAATACGAAATACCGCAACCGATACCGGCTAGTATTCTACCGCAGAAGATGCTCATTTGTTCGGTTCCCACGCCGATTAAAATCCAACTAATGATTTTAGGTAATGCGGCTAACAGCAATGTTTTCTTACGACCGATACGATTCATCAAAATAAATGGGATCAATGAACCGATACCGACACCAACGTAAAGTAAATTAACCATCCAAGCTATTTGATCGCTGTTCACTGTCAGAGGATCTTCCTTAGCGATGAACTTTGGTATTGTTGGTGTACTCCAGCCTTCTTGGAATCCGCTATCGATGATCAATAGATTGCCTAAAGGGAATTATTACAATCTGTAGTACGAAACCATTCGATAATTTATCGTATAAAATTGTTTCTCCTATAATATCTCATCGTCAATCGCGATATTTATTAAAGAAAATCTATTCCTAAATTTATCGTCTACTCACAAACTACGCCAATTAAAATTTGTCGAAACATCTCGCCGCCCATTATTTTTCCTCTAGGTGGTACCTCGAACGATTCGACTGGTATTGAAATTTCCTGTTGTATTCCTTGATTTGTTTTATCCTGTGTCGCAGGGACAACCCTGCCCACTTTTTCGTTATTAAGAAAACAACGTGAAGCATCCTCCTCTTTGGTTTCTCTCGTATTCTTATCGAAACAATAATGTTCCTTGGTAGGAGATAATTTGTATCTACGTAGTCTAAAGAGACAAATCAAATTCAATTAAAAAAAAACAAATGATAAATAATTTCATTTAATCTCTATTCATTTTTTATTTTTGCAAATATTTCGATTAAATGTTATATTATTTACGCTTTTAAGTTTGTTCAAGGTATTAAAAAGCTATTAACCAACTTAAACTTTAAATAACATTTCAACTAAACTCATAAAAAGAAAAAAAAAACGAATCGAGGAAAGAGGTAAATCGAGGTCAGACAATATCGAAGTTAAACTTAAAACAATTTAATAATTATCTAACAATTGGTTAGAAATTGATGTTCCTCGTGTTAACAAGCACTTTTTCTTTTCTTTTCTTTTCATTTCTTTTTTTTTTTTGTTAAAATCAACGAGGTCATCATAGAAAAAACTTGATTATTACGATTATAAACCCTCGGACAATAAAAAAAAGAAACAAAAACTGAACAAACAATATCCTCTCGATGAAGTTTACACGAGTTCTTATTTAATAAATAAATAAATACGTATATGTGTACATGTTCCCCAACTTATTAACGATGATTAATTTAATCGTATTTACAAATTCCATACGAGTACTTTATGCATATGGGAATTAACAATGTACAATAAAGAGGAAAAGAACCTTCCAAAACACAGTGAAATTATTCGTTACGCGTGTCACAAGTATTCCGTATGCGAATTGTGTTTCTGTCGACTCTCCAAACGTGTATGTATTATGTCTATGTGTGTGTGAAATACAGACAGAGCAAGACAGAAAGAGAGATAGAGATAGAGATAGAGATAGAGAGAGAAATAGAAATTACGGAGATGAGCCAACTAGGATCCTAACTCGATTCTACGCTACCACGTATTTCCTTCTAGTAGGTTGAGGAACCTCGATGCGATATGGTTTCACATATATGTAAACGCTATGATCTCAGCACGCATACCATACGTGCATGAATCTGCAATCTTTCGAAAGATGCCAACGTTCCTACGTGAATGTACGCCTGTTTATGTGAACTAGAGTAAATGTGAGTATTTGTATGTATGTAAGAGAGAGTGAGACGGATTATTAACAAAGTACTTCTCTCTGTACATATATCTCTCTTTTTCTCTCTCTCTCTCTCTTTCTCCAAGTAGCAGTTTACAGCTAACAATATAATGTACCGACTAATAAGATATCCGAACCGAAACGTGTGTGTGTTCCTTACCTCGGACTTATTTGTCACAATGATTCACTTTCATTACCTATTTATATATCGAAATAATGTTCGCATTAACGCGCCACTTTTTCCTCGACTTTTCTCCCATTTTTTTGTTTTGTTTTAACTAATAATATTATATATATTTGAATTGTGCAACATATTTTTATTTTAATCTCGGTTATTTTTTGTTTGTTTGAAAGATAACAGACAATAATGAAAAACCAATTGGATTATTTTCTTGTTCGTCGTAGTATATGTTTCTTTATTTCTGTATTTGTGTGTATTTTTTAAGAATGGAAATTAGAAAACGATCGATGATTTGTTTTTTTATCCGTGAGAACAATTTAAAATACATGAAGAATTAGTATTGTTGTATTATCTTTGTCGATATTCTTTTAATACGATATTGCTAATTGTTTTCTATTTAAAAATTTACCGTTCATTGTTTTCGATTAATTGTATAAAAATTTTTAATCAATAATGTGAATGAAAATGTAGATAGATTTGTGTACGAGGTATGACAATTTATTAACGATTTAGTGAAAAAATGGATTGTTCTTTTTTTTTTAACAGTTCACCACGGTTCGCTGAATTTTGTTTAAATAACTGTAGACAAACGAAAATGAACGTATTTATATACACGTAAAGACAAGGTCTAAATAGTTATTTCGCATGGCATACGTTTAAACGCCATTGAATTTTATCTAGGATAAGAAATAAACACATACCGATGTTTCTTTTTTTTTTTTATCGTTAATTATCATATCACAAATAAACGTATTTATTATTAGCTTACGGTTAAATTACACGGGAAATTTATTAAACGAGGTCAATCGAATTAATTTCTATAAGTAAAAAAATGTGATCATTTGTTTTATTATATATTAATTCAATTAAATATTAATTTTTTAACATAATAATATGGGGAGGAAAGAAAAAAATTATTTAGTAATAAACTTATATGAAAAGAAATGAAAAGAAAAAATGTGTTACATCGACTTGAACGTTACATTACAACCAAACGATTAACGTTGAGGTCGATGTACGTAAATCAAACCCGTCTATCGAGATTCCCCGTCATATTGCATCGTATCGCGTGCATCTGACTCGATAAGAGTCACTTTTGTAATTCCATTATTCTACGAAACTCAATTCATTCATTTTTTTTCCTCTCTTTTACCTCTTTTTAATACGTAACGAGTTGTATTTTTTTTTGTTTTTCTCTAAGGCCTCCGAAAGTGTCATCAATCGTTTTTTAATCGATGACGTAAATAAAAATCCATTCTAATGTCATTGTTAACGTATTTCAATTTAATTCTTTTGTTCTTATTTTAATGATTTGTCAAAAAACGTTTCACGATCATTTGTTTGAACCGTATCGTCAGGATTTTTAATTTAGAGAAGAAAAAAAAACAAACAAACAAAAAGAATAACAACTATACAAAAAAATCTAATTTAATTGAATATCTTGAAATAAAATGTATCCGACACACTGTCGGTTAAATGGTGTTAAGTTAAGAGTGATTTATTTGTAATGCAAATTGGTTGAACGTACTGAATGAAAATAAAACGAATAGAAAAATGAATCATATAGAAAACAACATTTTCAACGAATTCTTTGTCATAGGTTTATCACCTTTTCCCTATGTATAATCTTTCCTTGATATATTTAATAACTCTATTCATATATATATATAATGTAATACTTAATTACTGATATCTGATCAAACGAAGCGTACAGGTACCTACTTGATTCCTGGCAATGTTCACGGTCTATCGAACCCGATTACAAGTTTAATAATTGGATCCTTTGTGAGTCGAAGTACGTGTAATTATTACTCCAAAATTTGGGTATTAGAATGAAGTAGGAATAACGCTTAAAGACATTATTAATGGATTTATAATTGCCGTTGTGAAACTATCTTAATATCATATATATATATATCACAAAAATGCATATAAAAATATATTAAATATGAATAAAAAAATAAATTCTCGGATAAGTAAACAAACGTTTGTGTTGAAATATTTTCTACGGGAATGTTTGAAACTTTTCGTATCATTCCATATATATATTTATAAACACGATTTATATGATATATCGATGTAGAAAATGATTATCGAACATGTGTTACTAAATCGAAAAGATTATCGAACAGGTGTCGATAAACCGATTTCTTGTAGGACGGTTACACGTTCTTGCGTTCTCCGTTCATGAGATAAAACTCGTAAATCCTTTGGTACGATGATTCCGTCCGTGAAACATTTTGACACAACGAGGAAAAGATTTAAATCACTACTATGAGATTGTCTAGGGGAAAATAAATTTTAACGGGTTAGACAGATACGAACTATTCATATTCCGCAATTTCATTGAGACTATATTATTATTTATCTTATTTCGCGCGTTTTATTCTCTCTCTCTCTGCGTGTGTGTGTGTGTGTGCAAGGAAATATTATATATTTATTTAAAAAAAAGAAAAAAAAAAATCCAAAGGAAAGGAAAAATGGGAAAAAATGTCAATGACAATGATAATAAAAGATAATTAAAGTTGAGTTAACACCTTTGAAAGGTTTTAATGAAGCAACTTTCATTGGACGTTTCTTCCATGACGAATTGTTTCGTTGCTTGATCCTTGAATATAGATTTAAAATAGATTGTTTATACGAATGCGATTGGTTTTTTTTTTTTTGGAATAAAATCGAAGGTAACAAACGATTAGTTTAGAACACTACGTAGGAATACACCGGAACACGCACACTATATCCGAATAATTAGTAATAGAATGCGAATAGGTGTGTCAGGATGGTATTCGCGCGAATCCCCGATATCGGTTTTGGTGTCATTATCGAACGAACCACAGAGAGGAAACTGAGAGCTGCCGAACGCGGTCTGCCCACTTCAGGAACATATACGTGTTATACGTATTTTTATTGGAATCCCCTCTTCTCATTTGGCGCCACACACACACACACACACACACAAACATAAACACCACCGCACGTCGGACTCTCAACTAAACCAAAGCCATCTTTTCGTATTATTCATTTCAATCGCTAATATTTTCCTCAGGATTTTCTTCGAAACAATTGAATAACAGGAACCCGATCTCTTCTTCTCTCATTCCCTTTTTCCCGATTTAATTGCAACCGGGACCGGCCCACTCAGGAATTTGTTCGATTCCCCGAACTAAACCGGCTTCTTGATCGCGTGTTAGCTCGTCTGCCACTTGTTTTTACCCACTTTTTATGTTTTGCCACGACCTTGAATCCTACCTGGCTCCTCTCTCTCTCTCTCTCTCTCTCTCTCTCCCTCTCTACGATTCGATTCAGAAATCCGATCGTTGCCGAGATGCAACAAAGAGTATTCACTTTTGTTATTTTTTTCTATTTTTATTCCAACTAAAATGTATCTCTGAAACACCTGACGTCACTTAATTGGTCGATCAATTGGACAACACGTTCTTATCGTGAATCATAGCTTTTTGTTTTGTTCGAGATATTCCCACCTTCCGATTTTGTTTACTTCAAACTTTTATTATTGTTAATTGAATCTTTTAAAGAGAGATCGATTAACGTTCCGGGTTTGGAATATTGTTTACATGGAATGGTAATGCATTTCCAACCGATGTACAACCGAAGAACATTCTTTAAGACTCGAACGAAAACGATCTGTCCTTGAACCTTTTCGATGGTTCGGTCAACGTCCTGCGAATTCTCCTGGGATAGAATAACCCAGTCTAAATGAGACAACTGCATAAGAGTTCAATATTTATCGAATAATCGGAAAAGTTTGTATATTGGGATGAACAATTATTTATCAGATATAATAATATTATAGATTTTATACGAATCTTAAATGTTTTCTTTTTTTTCTTTTCTTTTTTAATGAAAATTTTCATTCGATATCGATACAAATGTTCCGTGTAACCTGATAAAACGCATACAACGATTT